TGTAAGCGCCACCAGCAAAGATGCAACGCTTACTGGAAAAACGTGTTTTCATCCATTGGAATTAGGATATAAAACGTTTTTCCATCATTAACATATTGTAAATCTTTTTTTGACTTGAAATAGATATACTGATATATATTTTAATTTACGGACAAGTTTCTTGGTGGAGACTGTTGCACCGAAACATTGGAAAACTAAATCAAATGACTTTATGTGCGTCATCAAAAACGTTTTTTTCCATTCCTGGAAACTTATAATTATGTCGCTTACATTGTTATTCGCGGTGACCATTCATTTATAAAAAAGTATTAATTATTAAATAAAAAAAGAAATATAAACAATACTAGTCAAAGAGTTTCTATTATCACTTTCCGTCGTGTGCACGGTATTAATAACATATATAGCCGTGTCAAATTTCAGGACGTTGGCTTAAGCGGTTCCAGCGATAAGCGATATGAGAATTTACGTTTGTATGGGAGTTGATACGCCCTCTTTTCCAATGCCTTTCCCTTTTCTGCTGAAAGTACGGTATTGATAACATATGTAGATTTTTCAAATTTGGGACGTTAGTAGTTATAAGGCGGTTCCAGAGATAGGCGATATGAGAAGTTTGTATGGGAGGTGCCACGCCACCTTTTCCAATATCTGCCAATTTTCGCCATAAGTACGCTACTGATTACTACGGTGACCATCCGTCCTGTATTATACGGGACAGTCCGTTTTTTCGTCCTTTTTCCGGGTAATTCATTTATTTCATACGGGACGCCAATTGTTCTGCATTTCTTTTAGTGTCCTGTATTTGTCCCGTATTCGGAATTTTGGTGCCTTAACAGCTCATAAAAATGACATGCCTATGAACCAGTTTTTATTTTTAAATCTGGATGCTTGTAATTCGAATCGAGGAGCACATATCGATGGCTGATTGGAAGATCGACCTATCTCAGAAAACTTTCAGGAACGCCCTACTTCAGAATTTTATTGAAGAATGCCCTATTTCAGAATTATATTGAAAAATACCCTATCTCAGAACTTGGTTGAAGAACACCCTATTTCAGAATCCGGTTCAAAAACGTCTTATCTCAAACGAAAATACATTGAAAATTTGCTAAGATAGGGCGTTTTTAAGCTAAATTCTGAGATAGGGCATTTTTCAATCAAATTGTAAAATAGGGCATTCTTCAACCAAATTCTGCAATAGGGCATTGTTGAAAAATGTTCTGACAGAGGGCGTTTTCGAACTGGCTGCCGACATAGGTCGATCTTCCATTCAGCCCGATATGTAGATTGTTTCTGAAGTTATAATTTTGCGCTAAAATTTCAAACTTTGTTTGCGTATATGGATTCCAAAACCAACAAAAAGTGCACACAGCTGTCCAATGTGCTGGGTGTGCAGGTAATTTTCAAATTTTGCGAAGAGATGTACGCCAAAACAATTATTGCTGACTATTTGAGGGATTGTGCCTTCAACGTGAGAAACTCCAAATAAGATGCCTACCAGGAGAATGTTGTAAATGTAAAGAAGATCTCAAAGATGGAAGGGTACGCTTTGCAATTCAGCTCGTTCCGTTGCTATTCACTGCATTGTTCTTAATCGAAATCCAAGTCTGATAATAATCCGTTGAATCCCACTCGTGCTTTAAAAGTAGCCGGATATTTTCATCAAGTTTTCCTGCCTAGGAATGTTTGAAACACATTTTGTGGGGTAAAATTCCCGAGCACAAAGTACAAAGTTATCGAAAAACATTCAGTGAATGTGTGATGTTACAGCTGAATATTTATGTGCTGCATTCACAAAATATTCGAAAAATATATGCCAAATAAATTCTGTTTCAAGGCTAACGAAATGCTGTTTCAAGACTTTTGTGGAAAACATTAGCAAAAATATTTTTAGTTTCCAAATACCTGTCACTTTTCGTTATATGTAATTACGTTATTGGTAACATATATACATATCGTCGCTGCGCCAACAAAAACAGTTATGTGATTTTTGTAATTTTTTTTTATTGTATATTTTATTAACACTATCTGTTGCCCACATTTCTGCATTTGTCGTTTTCTTATATCTCTTTTGGTTTAGAACTGATCAAAACCAGCTATGTGTTCGCAGTACTATAAATACTCTGAAAAAACGGGTATACGCTTACTTGCTTATAACTGTTTTTGATCGCAGATGAGTGTGCTTTGATTTCGATGTAAAAAATAATTTTAAACCAACTAAATACATACATACATATGTATGCACATACCACTTATACTACATAGATTCTACTATTTAATTTGATCGCTTGCAATCGGAATTCAACAATTAACAAAGGTAAAAAGTATGGAGGTAGACAGCGCCCACTCTACATTAGAAATTGTATTCAATCCACCGATAAATTCACCAATGGACTACATAAGTCGTATGCGACAGGCGAGGCCATCACATCCTTATATTGTTAATTATTTAGAGTATACACTTTTTTTAAATTATGAGAGTGTTCCTGGTAACTTTACAACTATAAGGGCAGGTAAAAAACCTGGGGAAGCACCAGTAAGCAGTATCAGATGATTGCTTTATGTAAATGTTGAAGTCAAATTCAAGTGGCGTCATACCGACTGCTGGACATCATTGCCACAAAAACGAGTTCTGTTATTACAGCAATACGAAACGGAGCTACTGTACCTTGGTGCAATAAAAATTGATCAATCTAAATACAACAACCTTCAAACGTTAAAGCAATATATACACAAAGATTTCCATTCGTTTTATAATAATCTACCTCGATAAGTACTTAGTTTTATATATTTATGCAATTTACTATGTTATGCAAATTTGAGATTCTTTTGCAAGTATAATATGCGATATAAGCTCTCTCTTTCCGTTTTTCCAGGATAAGTTTCCAGTTTAGCTTAGTGTCTAGGATTATTCCCAGATATTTTTCATTGGATTATAGGGGGATTACCTTTCCGCCTATGGAAGGAAGTCTAAATTGGGGTATCTTATTTCTATTTGTTAACAGTAATAACTCGGTTTTTCTAGGGTTAAAGGCCACTACATTTAGCTCATGTGTGTAGTTTACCCAGTGCCCCCTCTAAGATTTCACTTACAGTAGAAAGTAAGGGGCCTGTGACTGCTATCACTGCATCGGCAGCATATGCCGCTACTGTAACCCCTCCTCTATTGACTTCCAGCAATATGCAGTTCAACGCTACCACCCACAATAGTGGTGAGAGTACGCCTCCCTGAGGAGTACCTCTGCTCACATATCTAGTTACTATTTTGTCTCCGCTTTTGACCTGAATGATTCTGCTTTCCAGCATAGAGCATATCCAACCATATACCGCCATCCACACCAATCACCATAAGCGATTTTATGATGGTGTCAACTTCATTGTTGTTGAAGGCACCCTCTATATCTAGGGAAGCTGCTAAAGTATATTCCTTGAAGTGTAGTGACTTTTCTATATATCTCACCACAGTATGCAAAGCTGACTCCGTCGATTTGCCTTTGATGTAAGCGTGTTGCGCTGTTGATATAATTTATTTTCCCAATATTTAGCGATCTTATGTATATGTCTATCAACCTCTCCAGTGTTTTAAGAACAAAGGAAGTCAGGCTTAGGGGTGTAAACTCCTTTACCGTTTCATGGTTCTTCCAACCCGGTTTGGGACGAACATCACTGTGACTCGTCGCCAACTCAGGGGGATATAGTTTATACTAATACAGGCTCTATAAAGATTTAGAAGAAGCGGCGCTATTCGCTCCTTTGATTGTTGTAACATGGCCGGTATAATACCATCCGGGCCTGGGGATTTAAATGCAGAGAAACTATTTATTGCATATTTGATCTTCTCTATGCTTATTGTTGATACCAGGTCCCTGATAGGTGTGCTTGTCCCTTTAATAAGGAATAAATTGGTGAGCTACTTTGAGAGTATCTTGCTTAACCTAGCCGAGTCTCTGATATTCTCTATTAAGGAGTAATAGGCTTGCCAGGAATTAGCTTTTGCTTTCCTCAGTTCTTTTTTGTATGATGTTAAGGCTTTTTTGTAAGGGTCACATTTCTTGGACCTAAAGCACTCGTTAAAAAGTTTTCTAACACTATTCCTAAGAGATTTAAGCTCCCCATTCCACCAGGGCGGGGATTTCTTTTACATGACACTCCATGGGGTTGACTTTTTATAGGATTTGGTCATCGCCCTCTCTAAATTTCTTACGTTTCGTTCTATCTCATCTGATGAGGTTGTATTTCCTCTCACATTAACATTGGCTATTTCCTCAGTTAGAATTTTATCATATTTCACCCAATTGGTTCTCCGTGGGTTTCTGTATCTGGAGGGGGTGTAGGATAAACCGCGTAGTTTAAAGAGTATCCAGCAGTGATCGGACATCGATGGCCTATCGGAAACTCTCCAATTCTCAACGGTAACGCCATTATTCTGAGATAATAGTGTTAGGTCCAATACCTCCTCCCATCCAGAAAACCAGTCCAAACTTGGGAAAATAAAGGTTGATCTATTGCCTCTATTACATATACTCAGATTGGTATTTAGTACATAGTGTAGGAGGGACTCACCTCGCTCGTTTTCCACTGTGCTGCCCCAGACAGGGTTCCTGGAATTTGCATCACAACCAATAACCCTGGCTTGTCTGGTGTTCCGATCTATTAAGGCTTTGATTTCAGGTGGAGGACTCTCTCGATCATGGGACATGTATGATGACACCAATATGATGCTCTGCTGTCCCGCCGTCTTCACCTTAACTACAGTTGTGTCTGCTGTACTGAAATGAGACCAAAGGAATGCATTTATACCTTTCTTGATAAGAATGCACGCCCGTGATTTACCAACCTCGCCCTTGTAGAAGAGATTATAGTTGTTAATATTAAGGCCCATGACTACGTCGTTCCTGACACACGGCTCCTGTATTAAGCCGATGTCAATTTCCTCCTCGCTGAGAAGAACGAGTAGGCTATCTGTAGCATACTTCGCATGCTGCAGATTTATTTGCACTACTTTACTGATCCGGTTCATCGTTCAGTTTAACGCACATGAGGAGCTCAGCTGCACCCTCGACGCCCGGATCCTCGTCTACTGGGCTAACCTCGCCAAGGAATACCTTTACTTTGGGTTTCCTTATACCAAAACTAATCTTATTGTCGGCCTTTGCTAGGGCCTCCAAGGATTCGTCGCAAATCGCGAGGAGTATTGGCTTTTTAGTGGGTTTTCTCGGCTCTTCAACCTTGATGAGCTCCCATGCTGGGATATGCTTGTTATGCAGCTTTATACACCGCAGCAACTTTTCGCCAGGTTCGGCTATCGGAGGTAACCAAATGCGCGCACGCGGCCTCCTAGGGATGTCCCTGGCTGGTATGAGCTTGAGCTTCAAGCCCTCGAATGCGTCACTAATCTTTGCAACAGCGAGGAAATCCAAGGAGAACTGGTCCGCGCATTTTATGACCCGGTATCCCCTTAGGGATTCCGCCGAGTCGAACTCTGGGTGAACACCTTCGAGGTTGTCGAAGGCGTGGTCCATCACGAGACTCGACAGCTTCACATCGATCTCCACCCATTTTTGCTGCACTGCTAGCGGTGTTCTGCTTCCTTCATAGATGATTGAAGTCTGCAGGTGGTCTCTCGCTACGTCGCTGAAGTAGCTATGTTTTGTGGATGTTGCGGACTCCGCTACATTAGCTTGCTTTAGGCGTTTTCATTGAGCCCCTTTGCTGCTCTTATTCTGCGAGGGGTTCTTCTTTTGGGCCTCGCTAGTTGCCATAGCGTCGGTACGTTCCGTCTGGAATCTCTAGTACTCTTCCACCATGCCCATATATCTACGCTTGTCTTCCTCATCGCGTTCATCTACAAGTGAATAAAACTCTTTTTATTAATATAAATTAAATTTATTAATAAAATATATTGGTGTCGCTACTTCTCCTTGTACAGCCTTCGTAATCCAATTGCCACAATGTACTGATTAGAAAACGATCCA